ATACAATTGTGTATGATTCGATTCTTTTCAATGTCATGTGATCTAACAATGTTGTGAATCATAATATTCCATGACACATCATTTTTCATAAGTAAGCCATCAAACAATTTCTATGCATATTCGGTTTCTTTATGTGAGTTATTGGATCGAACTCTAGTTAGCATACCATCGAAGTTTGCTCACATGTTGTTGTCGAATACCTACATGCTGTAGTCGAATTGTGTTCTAGTATATAGTTGACGAATTGAGCCTTGTGTTAAGGATCCAATTGTTTAAGTTAGCTTGTATCCTAAGTTAGCTTGTAATGAATAATTGTTAAAAAGTCCATTAGTTTAGTATGTTAGATTTTATTATAAATAACATACTAGTATCTCATCTTAAGTGTGGTGTGACAAAACCTAATTAGGGTGACAAGGTTATTTGTTATTCTTGAGTACTTGTAATATGTTTTATAGAGAAAGTAAAGAATAACAGTTATAACCAATCCTTGTTGTTCTCCTTATTTTTTTCCTTAACCCTAACCCTTGTGTTTTTCTTGATCATAAAGAAGTCGAGTATATTTTGTTTTAAGGCATCCTAATTCACAACAAATTGGTGCGGTGAGCATGGAGAAGATGCCTTCAACAAAGTATGAGGTTGAAAAGTTTACCGGAGTGAACGACTTCGGTCTGTGGCGCTTGAAGATGAAAGTCCTGCTGATTCAGCAGGGTTGTTTAGAAGCGTTGAAGGGAGAGGCAGCCATGGACGCTGCATTAACGGAAAAAGAAAAGACATTCATGATAGAGAAACCCACAATGCAATATTGTTGATCCTTGGTAATAAGGTTCTTCGACAGGTATCAAATGAGGTGACGTCATTGGGGTTATGGTTGAAGCTTGAAAGCTTGTACATGACCAAATCTCTAGTGAATTGACTCTACCTGAAAGAAGCTTTGTATTCATTCAAGATAAGTGAAGACAAAGTGTTGGCTGAGCAGTTGGATATGTTCAACAAGATGATCCTTGATCTTGAAAATATTGATGTGAAAGATTGATAATGAAGATCAAGCACTATTACTGTTGTGCGTTTTGCTTAGAACAAATGCTCACTTCAAAGAAATTCTCATGTATAGAAGAGAGTCTCTGACCTTTGAAGAAGTTCAATCAGCCTTGCATTCTAAGGACTTGAACAAAAGAAAGGAGCATAAACCTTCGACGGTTGGTGAAGGTTTGGCCATTAATGGAAAATCATATTTGGGTCACCTCATACATTGTTTTAAAATTCTGAATGTTCAAAAGTTAGATACCTTTGTTGCGAAATTGCCCTCCAAATTTGAGCATGATCCGAAGGTTAACGAATTGGGGATCGTCGATTTAGTGAGACTAGTTGCAGAAAAATGGGAATGAGTTTATCTCCTATATTCTCTCTTTTGAATCCTTATTTTCTCTCTATCTCTCTCAATGCTAAATTGATCCTCTCCACTTAAATAAGTGATACAAATGGGCTAATCATATTTAAGTCTTTCTCCATATTGGAAGGGATCCCCAAACCCAACAATCCAATTCTTCAGAAGCTTCGTAATCATTTGTCTTCTTGGAAAGGAAAAGTGATTTCTTTAGGGGGTCGAGCGAGTCTCCTTAACTTGGTTTTAAATTCGATACTGAATACTACTTTTCCTTCTTTGAATGCTCGAAGCTAGTCCTTCTAGATAATGCGAATTCAATGAGTTTTTTTTATAGAATGGCGTAGAGAATAAGAGAAGAATTAATTGGACCTCTTGGTCTTCAATCTGCAAATCTAAATCTGACGACAACTTAGGAGTCAGGAGTGAGGAGTGTTTCAATGATGCTTTACTGTCTAAATGGAGTTGGAAAATTTTTATCTAATTTTTTGGATCCTTGGTACCCTCAGTTGGATTTTAAATATGTTGATTTAAAAAGTTAAATGTTGGCCTTATATTGGTTTGTACCGAACAACAAATCCTTGATTTTGTGGAAAGATTTAAGGTCTCTTCTAGGTTCTTGGGGAGGAGAGGCGATATGGTCTGGTAACAACATTGATTTTTGGAGGAATAAGTGGATAAAGGATGGTTATTTGATGTTGCAGTTACCCTTTATGTTTCAATTAGACCAGGCCCGTAGGTTCTTAGTAGGAAACGTAGGCTATTATTGGTAGAACAACACTTGGATTTGGAATCATAATTTTGGTTTGGTGCTCTACAATTTGAAACAAGGTAAGAATGGATGGATCTCCTAAATATCATGTATCATGTTCAACCCTTACTCAAGGTTGATAATAAGTTTCTTTGGTGGTGCGACGTGACTAGATTTTCGGTTAAGTTCGCTTATTAAAGGTTGGCTGCCATTTCGTCTAATGGACTTCTTATTGATTTAAACTTTTCTTGTTCTTTAAAATTGGTTTAGAATTCTCTTGGTCCAAGTGATATCAAAGTTTTTGCTTGAAGACTTCTCCTAAACAAGCTTCAAATTAGAATGGAACTAGCAAATCGCAAGGTTTTAAGCGGAGCTCACAACTTGGTATGTCTTCTTTGTCTCGACCCAAAAGAGACACATATTCATCGTTTCCTTCATTGTCCTGTGGCTTCTGATCACATATGGGAAATCATTTTGTATTATCTAGGTGTTGATAGATTTCCTTCAGCAACAAGATTCGTCGAGCATTTGACAACTTTCGCCATAACCATGAAATGAAAGATAAATTTTTGAATAAATTGCGTCTGCTTTTATGGTTTGTTGTCATTTGATCATTGTGGTTGGTTAGGAACAATATTCTCTTTAAGGACTGTCATAAAGGAGTCAGTGAAATGGTGATGTTGGCAAAATCTTTCAATGAGACTGGGTAATAACTTGTTCAAAAGGTCAATTATTAGTCAACAAAAGTAATTGATTTCAAAATCCTGTGTTCTGGTTTGATTTTGGTCGAGTTTATTTTGTGTTTTTGTAATTTTCCGATTGACTCTTTGTATTACAGGTTGAATATCCCATTATACTCTATTAAATACCACATCTTTGCATATAAACAAATATTATCATTTATATTTTTGGACACAACAATTAGGATAAATAACTCTAATGGTTTATAGTATTTTGTTAATAATTTGTGAAGATTTATAAGTTTATTTAAGGAGAAAAAATATTAGTTTATATAAAATATTTTTATGACTTTTTATATATTATGAAAATAATTAAATAAATAAGATATGTTCGTAAAAAAATCTATTTTAAAAATATTCTTATAAAAATGGATAGAAAATACTAAAAAACAAAAGAAAATTTTAAAGTTAATACTTATGAAAATTAAACCCTCTTAAAATTATTAACTAAATTCAAAAGAGCATCATTGTCTTTGAATTAACTTTGAGAAAATTGGAAATTGAAGTTTGAAGTAGTGATATTTAGTAAAAAAAAATATTTTAAAATTCAGATCGGTCATCAACTCAATTAAGTTACTGGATCACTAGGTCAGTGGTCAGACCAATTGATTAGTGGTCGGATCGTAACTTCTAATTCAATTAATATAAATTTTAAAATTTTTGACAAAAATTTCATATCTATAAAATATATGAGAAATTTTTTTGAATTTATTCTTGCAAATAAGTTGAAAAACAGTTTTAAATAAAATTCTAACTTTCAAACATGACACTTTATTTATTGATGCTTATAAATTAACAAAAATAAGAAAAGTTATAGTACCATAAATCAATAAACTAATATAAACAAATATTATTCTCTATATAAATAATTAAAAATAAAAGATATAGTAAAAAATAAAAATTTATGAATATAAAAGTTAATAAAAATAATTTCACTTTTACTTAAAAATAATAATGAGATTTATAAATGAAAAAATTAATAAAAATAATGTGTTTTTTTACTTAAAAATAATAATATGATTTATATTGAAAATAATATGAAAATTTAATTTCATTTTTCTTCTATAATATAAACTATTTTTGTTCTCTTTCAAATAATGAGATTCATAGTGAAAATAATATGCAAATATAATTTCATTTTTATTTTGTAACATGATTTTTTTTTTCCAAAAATTTTGTTAATTTATAAATACAATTTCATTTTTTCTTTTGTAACATTATTTAATATAATGTATTGGATTTTTTTTCAAAACTTTTAATAATAAAATAAGATTTTAAAACAATGCCACAAAAATTAAAGTAAAAATAAAAATAAAAAGATCAAAATTTAAATTAAATTAAATCAATCTGCTGAATCAAAAAACCCACTGACGAATAAATTTTACTTTATTTTATTTCAAAAACTATCTGCAACAAGAATTAGCTACCAAAGAAGAACCTTGTGAAACAAATCCCATGTTCTTAATAGACTTACGTGTGACTGTTTTTTTTTCTTTTCAGATTTACAAGTTTAGCTTTAGTATTGAACACATGATCCAAAAAAAAAACAAAAAGAAATGACTTGATCATTATAAAACTAACTGATGACTTGAAGGCAATGGAACAAAAAAGAATTGACCGACTTGTACTCAACCTCCAGATACCTCATCTGGTAAGGTTTGAGCCTAAATATTTCCAATGTTCACTTTTCTTTCTTAGAGTGTATTCATGCATTATTCATTTAGCTGGTTTGATTTATTTCCAATTAAGTTATCAAGATTGATGAATACACACTTAGTAATTTTTTTTCTATATAAAAGTGAGCCTCTGTAAACCACCCTTTAGTAATAGGACTACCCTTTGCTAAACACTTTGAATTTTAAAACACCAAAAAAATTAGAATAACAAAGTTATCAAAATTATCGAAATATGTTTTGTGAGGACAAATTAAACAGCAAAATCATCTATATATTAATCATATAGTTCATAATAATATAGCCATTAGAATGCCTTGATGACATAGTTCATAATAATATAGCCATAATAATGTCTTGATGAGAATTTATACTTCTGAATATACTAGTTTATTATTTTATTTTTCTTCTAGTTTCAACCTCTGTTTGATAAGAATGAATCCATTTTTCTTACTTTAAGGTTGAACATGTTTGTCATGTTTCTGATGATATAATATGATATTAGGATGAACATCAAAATCCCTAACAAAAGAATCATCTTCTTTTTCTTCACTTGGAACTTGTTTGTCATGTTTCTGATGATATAATATGATATTAGGATGAACATCAAAATTCTTAACAAAAGAATCATCTTGTTTTTCTTGAGCTGGAACTTTAATGAGGTTTTTAATTGCTTCTGGCATAGCTTGTTCATTCATCTTATTCTTCCAATACTCTTCCAAATCCTTTCTTCCATAACTCATGTTACCCACCTATTCATTCAATTCAAAGAAAAAACACTCTGTTAAAAAAATTAGTATATAAAATGAGTTAAACTTTTATATAGTTTCTTGAGCAAGAAAAACTTACCATGAGAAGAGAGAAGACCATGAAAAAAACTTGAATGGACTTCATTTTTCTTTTTGATTATTATATTTTTTGATGATGTAAGTCACATTGTGTAACTATATATACACAAACATAATCAGAGTCAAGTGCCTTGATACTTGTGATGTCAAAGTTGGTCCAATGCACTATCAATTTAATTAATTCAAAGAGATTTTTTATTATATATTTTTAATTTAATTAGAGTATCAAGTCAAGTGAAGTCATTTTTTATTAATTGGAGAATTATTATGAAATTTATGCCACTCTATGAATGTGGACAAAATAAAAGGTCACCGACCAGATAAGTTATTTATTTTGGTATTTTATAGTTCTATGCTTTTTAATGAAATCAAACTTAAAATACATCAATTGTTAATTATTTTGGTTCCTTATTTTTAAAAAGTGTCAAGTTGGTCCTTTAACTTTTAAAATGGTATTAATTTAGTCCTCACCGTCAGTTGTCCACAAACGTTCGTTTATTTTGTTCATCATATTGCTTCCTTCTCCTTCCTCCTTCTGTTCACATTGTGCGACTGTGATTTCCCAATTCTTAGTTCCAAATCCCTAAATTAATCTAGGGTTTTTTTATTTGGCAAGCATGAAATCCGGTTATTACTCCTCCATTTCGAAATCGAAAAGTCGAGATTCAGATGTTTGTAGTAGGTCACGATGGAAACCCATATGTCATTGTGGAGACATGGTTGTTCTTCAAAGGGCAACTACTGTTAAGAATATGGGGAAATTTTGTTAGGGTTATCCAAATTATAAGGTATGCAAGCTGGTTTTGTTCTTAATTGAAGTTCTGTTTTTGTTTAAGTTATGTTTTTGTCCAAATTATAAGTTATATTTCTGTTTAAGTTTAAATTCATTATCCATCATCCTCTAAACAATGAATCTTACAGGGAGGTATGCAAGCTGATTGTGACTTCTTTGGTTGGTTTTATGAGGAGATGGGTGATGAGAAGGAGCAATTTTGGATGCATAGGCTGGGTGTGGCAGCTAAGGGACTTACTGAAACAAAAAAGGGCATTGAAAAAGTGACAATGAAGAATGAAGAATTAGGGAAAAAAACTGATGAAACTTGGAAGTGAAATGAAGAATATCATGAAGTGGAAAAGGATTTTAAATTTGATGTTTGTGATGATTATCATTGTATTAGTTGTTAGGAGTAGTTAGGAGATTAAGGTTTGTTTGGAAGTAGTATGTTATGGTTTGTTTGTAAGAATTAAGTTAAGTTTTGGTCGTAAGAATTAGGTTTACGTTTAGTTAAAGTTTGTATCAGTTTTGGATTGTATCACTTCAACATAAATGTAATAGTTGGATTCTAATATATGGATTCTAATTCTGTATCAGTTTAGTTAATTTCACTTTTTGCAGTTCAACATGAATGTATCAGTTTTAGTTTTGGATTGTATTAGTTCCACATGAATATAACAATTAAAGATAATGTTAATTTGGTATGCATTGATAAATATCATGTCAAAGTGTTTTTAATTTGGTCTGTCAAAGCATACCCAACAGTTAAAGATTATGTTAATTTGGTCTGTCAATGATATATTTGGTATGTTATGTTTTTATGTTTACTTGGTTTGTTATTGACCTGTCAAAGTTGGTATGTTAATTTGGTCTGTTAATTTTGTCTGTATTTTTACACCACATTAGACATGATCGTAGTAATATAAAGTTCATGACAGGTCCATTTCATAATACATAAAGTTCATGACAGGTTCTGCTTTTAGGTTCATTTTATAATACCTATAAGTTGGTTATGCTTTTAACATAAAGTTCATAGTAGTAGGATACATAAACAACAACATCAACAAGATACATAAACTTGTAATACATTCCACAAAATAGACTTGTTCCACAACTGATACACATGTTCCACAACAACAACAGAATACATAAACTTGTTCATGACAGTTAGGTTATGCTTTTAACATAACTGATACACATGTTCCACAACAACAACATAATACATGAACATTGTAATACATTCCACACATGTTCCACAAAATAAGTTATGCTTTTAACACAACTGATACACATGTTCCACAACTAGAGTTTCTTCTTTGGCGTGGTCCTCTTTGTTGGAGTATACCTCATTGTTACTGGGCCAACAACATTCTTGGCAGCACTCGACCTAGTTGTAGGCTCATGTGGCACAAAAGGTCTTGTTGGCTTCCTTACAGGCAGCTTTTGTGTCTTGCCCTCAACAGGTTCATGTGTCTTCTGAGCAGCCTTTCCCTTAGAAGTCTGAGATGCTTGGCTAGATTGTTGAGTAGAAGTTCTCTTAGCCGTGTGTGTTGGTTTGTTCTGAGAGGGTTGACTTGGTTGTGAGTAGGCTGATTTGTTGAAGTAGGAGTGTGTTGGCTTGGTTGTTGAGTAGTCTGAGTTGGAGTATGAGAGGGTTTGGCTGATTGTTGAGTAATCTGAGTTGTTGTGTCCTTACATGTAGACTTGTAATGTCCTGCTTTCTTACACCTACTACACTTCACCAGAAAACCTGTTCTTCTCAATTTGAGAGCAGACCCATCAATTTCACCTTGTTACAAATTCCTTCTCTTTTTAGGTCTACCAGGCATCTTCCTGAACTTGGGTGGTTGCACATCTGAATATGGTGTCTTAACCCACAAGTTTGCTCCATTAACAGGGTAGATCACATGCTTATAAACGGCCTTGTACCTTGAAACCCTATAATAATATGGAATGTAAGTATCAATTTTGAAATTCCTACTCTTCATAGCAGAATGAACATGAACACATGGGAGTCCTGTGAGTTCCCATCTTCTGCATGAACATATCTAATCTTTCAGGTTCACAACAAACTTGTCAGCTTGATTTTCTAGGTGCCTTACTTCCAATATATGTTCATCAGACATCCTAAATGATTAAACAAATAAAATACATTAGTCACATGTATGTCATAGACATCCTAAAGAATTAATGTATGTTGATATTACATACCTTACTAGCCAGTTGTTGGTGTATGTGCTTGTGACATCAAGTTTCTTTCTAATATTGGGCAAAATATCATTCTCATCCAAAGTACCAAATCTCATTCTGTTTTTTGCCCATCACTCCGTCATGTATGTTCTGATGTTTTCTAACATAGTGATTAGAAGTTTTGCCCTTGCTTCAAGAATGACATTATTAAAGGACTCAGACATGTTGCTTAGAACAACATCACATTTGTTTTCAGTCCTAAAGTAATATCTACTCAAACTCCCTATAACTTAAGTCTTTCAATACACCAACTAGCTCAAAATAACTTCATTTGTCTACATCTACTCTCAAATCATCTACTACTCCATTCTCATATACACTACGACCTTCATCTGTGAACTCGCCACTATGATGAATTTTGAGAGTTATGTATTCATACATGATACCTAATCATATCATCTAAATAATTAGAGTTTACACTAACAAATTTACATAAACCCTAAATCTGAACCTCTAGCAGAAAACCCTAAAACAGAGACAAATGAACTAACCTTTTGATTATGTCTCCTTGAATCGTCTTCAATCCTCCACCCTCAATCCTTCACGTCTTGAATCTTCGCGTCTGCAAACCTTGAATCGTCTTCAATGATTCAATGAATTCTCCAAGCGTTGTATCGTGCCTTCTTCTGGGTAATGGAAATGTTGGATTCTTTTTCTTCCTTTAAGACATTTCATATCCACGTCAGAGCTCCACCTGGACAAACGTGGCATTTTTTTTCAAAGTTTGACTAACGACAACAAACAGAAGGATAAACATGACACCATTTTAAAAGTTAAAGGACCAACTTGACACTTTTTAAAGATAAGGGACCAAACTGGATCCCGAGTTAAAGTTAAGGGACAAAAAATGTTATTTTGCCAATAACAAACTATATTTTGAAAATGTCATTTTTACCCTGATGGTCACACACTCCGTCACATGGATAGCTTTAGTATGTTTTAAGTAATTCTTTGAAAGGGATCACATGATTTATGTGTAAGAATCATTTTTCTCTTATTAAAATTGTTTGTGTATGAACCAATTTTTCCACATTTTCATTATTAAAAAATTGGTCATGATAAAATTACAAATTTAAAAAATTTTAAAATACAAAAAGTAGAGAATTTTGTGTTGGAAAATCAAATTTTAAACTATTAAAAAGTCAATATACAATTTACTAAAATCAAATTTTAAGAGAACAAGTTAGTATTTTTTTTTATAAAATATTTTAAAATTAAAGCAAAACAATTAATATTTCGACCCACAACTTAAAGTATATTACCGCCTAATTTGTTGTCAAATATAATCTTAACCATTATATAATATTTATTTATTTATCAAACATTAAATTTACAACATTTAATTCAAGAGTTTAATTGATATACAATGATAATATAAAATAATTTTATACTGTCATTCAATAGAAATTTATTAATCTGTCATATTATACTGTTAACTTAAAAATTATATTCTGATATAGCAGAATATACGATGTTAATTGGTTGAATAGCAGAATATACGATGTTAATTGGTTGACAGTGTAAAATAATTTTACATAGTCATTGTATATCAATTAAATTTTTAACTTAAATAGTAAAATATATAAAGTTTTGACTATGTGCCCATGTCACATAATTTGTTGAGTTCTGAAATAGTGAAAGCCATGTCACAAAAATATTATTAAAAAATGAAAATAACACATTTATTTAATAAAATATGTCATTTTTTTTTTAAATTATCACATTAAAATATCTATGTTATATTTATTATTTTTTAATTGATAAACTTTTATTTGTTTAATTTTATGTCGTTTAACTGTTCTATTAACTAAAATCACTAAAAATGTTTAGTAAATAATATTAATTTTGTCAATAAAGTCAACTCAACAAATCATTTTCCTTAGAAAAATGTACAATTCAAATGTGATTTTTTTTCTTTCTTTTTTTATTTATTTATAAAATAACTTGAAATGCAAGAAAGGAATGAGAAAAAAACAAACTACAAAAGATTAGAATCAATAAGCAAAGATCCTAGCAACATC